TTTATTCAGACTGTTACAAGCCTTTAACAAGATACTATACCACATTTAGTCATCAAAAATTTAGCAGGCTGCTTTATCTTGTAAAAGGAACCAACTCACAAAACTAAAACATCATGCAAGCAAATAGCACATCTCCCAGAGATCAAAGTTGAGATCATAAACAGTTGGAAGAGAGAGTACACAGTGTAGCCATTAAATCCAGAGGTTATATTTAGCTCTTCTGAGATAAAGAAATTGCCAAACTTTTTAGGGAAGAACTCAATTTTAAAAGTCATTTTTTACAACTAAGTTTTAACTCAAGGAATTTTATTTCAGAAAACAAATTTAAACTGAAATACGTAATAATGCAAACATGTATAAATTAATAAGTTTTAAGTTATCTGTCATGACCCAATGTAAAGGTTTCTATGACTAGGAAAAGGAGTTGTTACGGTAACTACAGTTGCCAGCTACTGTGTGGATGGAGCCCAAAGGCTGACATGTCATTGTCAAAGACAGGGTTATACTACAATGTGTTGAGTAACCACCTTTAGTTACTTTCTTTGTTCCAGGCCCTATGTTATGGGTTTTCTTTATAATAGTCCTACCTCACAACAATCCTATGAATCAGGCATTATGCCCATTTCAATGTAAAAACAGATTAAAAATTTGGGAAATTGAGTACATCACCCAAAGTTAATGTGGCTAGTACATTGTTAAGCCAGGATTTGAATCCAGAGATATCTTCTTCTATAATAGCCTTGTGCAGTTTCAGAAAACAATAGAGAAAGAAGAAGAAAGACAGATTTAGATGATAGATAAATAGATACAAACAGATAGATAGATATATAGATAGATAGGCATACCTCTGCCTCTGGGATCTGAGAAAGGTAGCAAATGCACTGGAAAAGCATTTGAACTGGCCCAATCAAGGGCTGAGAATTTTCCATCATGGAAGGATGACTACTTACAGCATATACAACCCAAGCCTGTCAAATAATAAAAGATAAAAGTAAGAATGATTTCAGTGTTATTGTGTACCCACTATGTGACAGATCTGTTCTAGAAATTTTTATATGCGCTCTTGTAGAATCCTCATCAAGTCCTTCTTTTGTTGCCCCCATTCAACAGTGAGGAGCCTGAGTCTTTAGAAAAGTTTAATTCCCCCTTCTCTGCAAATCAAGCACCCAGAAAATGACAAGGAAAATTTAAACTATGAGGACTCTTTCTCCTTCAACAAGAATTAACACTAAGAAAAGAAAATATCATTTTTGAGTGTATTATGTGTTTTTCCTTAAAAAAAAACAATAAAAAATAAGTTCCATTATAATTTATAAAACATTATAAACCAGAAGTTCATGACAAGTTACTAGAGAAGTGAGGAAATCCAAATAAATTCATAACCTTCTAAACTAACTTCCTACAGGACAATGATAAAATTCTGTTGTGACTTCTATTTTAGTATTTTTGTAAACTATAATACTAGATCAATCATCTCAGTTCTACCTGGAAAAATTCTTGGAGTAATAGCTCTACTCAGCCAAGATTACTTAGAGCTAACTAGTAGTTAGTTCAGTTCCACCAATACACAGTAGTGAGGACTGAAGCTAGTAAGTGACCTCTGGGCTTCTCTTGCTCTAACATGAGGGTCTACACCATTTTACCTTTATGATTCATTCTAGTGCAGTGTTCTGTGAAATTCTCAAGAACTAAAAGACCCTGACTTGTCTATCCCTCACAACTCCCATTCCACAACCACTTTTATAGAAGTGCTTTGTTGACTATTGAAATGACCAATGATTATTATTGCGGATAATTTTAATTACTTTGCACAGACAAATTGAATCAGTTCTGCATCACCAGCCCAGCATAGCTTCCAACCACATCCAGATGTCCTGGGCCACCAGCCAGCCATGACTTTGTGGGTGCTCTGTGGAGCCTTACACAATTAGAAAAGCAAATCTGCCAGAACAATAACAAAAGCAGTGATGAATGTCAAAGCTAAGGAAAAAGTATTTTTAGATTTGCTACCTTAGATTATCTGCATTACTGTTCACATCCACATGTCCTCAAGACAAATGTCAGTGAATGGAAAGCTGAGGACAGAAATGTCCAGGAGACTGTGGGTCATTTCTAGTCTGGGGAAGTGGGAGATATGGGAAAGGTGTAGGATGTGTCCTGTGGAGGAGTTTTGAAAGAGGTATAAATAAGAAGACTACACATAGAAAAGACCACAGATTATCTGGGGTTAAACTGGTTGGGTGAAAATCTGGCTTTATCATTAACATTTAATTTCTTTGGGCCTCAATTTCCTCACCTCTGAAGTGGATATAATAGGAATCCATTTACCTTACCAGGTTGCTGCTAGATTAAGTGGGTTAAATGTATAAAATCCTTGTGAACATTTGCCTGGCACCCCCTCAAAGCGTAGGCTATCTCTGTTGGCGCTATTAATCACTGGAAGATGACAATACCTGTTCTTCTGTCCTCGGGGAAGTAGGGTGATGTAGGGAGGTCTTATAGTGTTTTCTTCTCCTGCTAGGATAGAGCTGAATTTGAACTGCTGAAGCTTTGAAAATATCTGTTTTCCTTCCCCCTCACAGAGAAAAGTCAATTCTGGAATATATTCCTAGAGTTCATGACAATTCTTTCTAAGTTTAAGCAGAACTGAAAGACTTCTTGGTCTCTTTCAATCTAATGAGCCCATTTATCTTGCTTTGCATAACCTTGCTTTAAAAACATGATCTTGAGAATGATGGACAGGATGAATTTAACTGTGATATAATGTAATAATTTTTGTAAATGTCACCATATATCCCCCAGTACAATACTATGATAATAAAAATAATTTTTAAAAATATGTTCTTCCTTGAGCTCCTAAATGTTGGAGCCATCATCTGACCTCTCATGTTATGTACATTGCTTCCATCATAAACATGCAGGAAAAAGACCTAGATGGCTCTGTCTCTCCCTCCTGCAACCTTACCCCCCCACCCCCACCTTCTCTGAGGAAATGAAAAGGAAGAAGCAGGAGAGTTGGAGGAAGGCCATTGTGGGCACTCTGGCAGCTTCATCCTGCCTGAAAATTCCAGAACACCCAGGCTTCTCTCTCTCCTTCTCTCATTCACACTTGAAGCCACAACATCTGGCCAAGAAGAGGAACCAAACTCAGATTTATTACTTTTGTTCAACAGAGAAAAGTGGCCAAAATAAAAGAGTGTGGCTTTAAAAATGATGGGAAATGATTCCACCTCCCTCAGACTCTCCCTGTGCCCCATTCTCCTCTTCTTCCGTAAGACTGTAACGCGCTTGCAAGTGCTCCCCTTGGGTGGGACAAGAAAGAACATGGAGTGACACTGATAAATAAAAACTTCCATAAGAAGTATTACACAGCAAAAGCCAAGTGTCCTGCCTTCCTTCCAGCTCTTTCATTTGATTTGCATGTTGCACTTTCACCCAGCTTAACCTCTACTGCACTCCAGCATACCAACTTTGGAAAACTACACTTCCAATACTGATTAGAATCAATGATGATAAGAGGAATTGATAGTGGAGTCTAGGATTAAATTGTGAAAAAAAGATAAGGATATAAAAAGAGATGTCATTAATATCTATTAAAAAATTCAAATACCCTCTTTCAGTTCACATGGCCTCAAATCTCTACCGCCTCACATCTGCTCCATTCTAGAGGGTTCTGAGAAGTGCAATAGACCTATGCACATTGTATTCAGTGTTGCCTGTGAATGAGTCACTGGATGATGACTAGAGAGAAACTGGGGTCTGGTGGCAAATTTGGAAGGTACTTGTTAATGTGTAAGGCAAGTCAGAACAAACAAATGCTTTTCTCATGTTGACAGAATATTAATCAGACTGTCAGAAATGTTTTGTTCCTGATGCACCCAGTGAGACACTCCCTCAAAGCATCCTCACTGCCTAAGTGTGTGTCCTAGTGCCTAGCACAGGTTCAGGTCCCTATTTAAGGCTAAGTAAATATGGATTGTCTGATCCCAGTGACCATATTCCAGAATCTCATAGGGACATGGAAAATTCTGGATTCCATCTCAGGAATTCAAATTTTTGTTCTAACTTTCTGTGTACAGTTAAACCCTTCAATGTCCCACCAGTGCCAGCCTAATTTATTTTCCTCCTTAAGATCATGAAGTGCTGTGAGATGATCAAGAAGGCCCTCACTTGCATCGCATTCTTGTAACTTATGACACACCATAAAAGGCAACTCAGTAATGACAGAGTAGGGCAGGGAGGAAGATGGAGAAATAGAGACTAAAGACCTATTTCCTCCCTTAGGGAACTTAGGCAGAGGCAGTCATGTCACTCATACTGAATCCAGGAAATAATAGCTGGTTTGAGGCACTGTTGTTCTTTGTAGGTAGAGGTCAGGAGTGATGCACTACAGGTAAGGAGTTCAAATCAAGGCTTCTTTGCAAAGTTTAAGTTGAGAAAGCAATTATTGGAATTCCAGTCCAGAAAGCAGGAAAGGCTCCATCATTTTCCTGGACAAGTCAGTAAGACTCCCCTCCTGGGAAAAGTCCATGAGCCACTGCTACCTCTGCAGCCCACCTCTGACGTCCATGTAACCCTTTCTCCCCTAAGAGAGCCACAAAGTCTGCACCTGCAAGGTCACCCTTCCTCCACTTCTCTCCCACAGGTGCCTCGCAGTCGGGGTGCATGGACAGCCCCAGCAACACCACCGTGCCCTGTGGCTTTCTCCTTCAAGGCTTCTTTGAGTTTCCACACCTGAGGCCCCTGCTCTTTCTACTGCTGCTGGCAGTGCACCTGGCCACCCTGAGCGGAAACCTGCTTATCCTGGTGGCTGTGGCCTCGGTGCCCAGCCGGCCGCCCATGTTGCTGTTCCTGTGCCAGCTGTCAGCCACTGAGCTCTGCTACACGCTGGTAATTGTGCCCCGCTCACTGGCTGACCTGACCTTGCCCGGCCACGGCAAAGGCAGCCCCATCTCATTCCTGGGCTGTGCTGTCCAGATGCAGATGTTCGTCGCGTTGGGCGGGGCCGAGTGTTTCCTGCTGGCCGCCATGGCCTATGACCGCTATGTGGCCATCTGTCACCCACTGCGCTACGCATCGGTGGTGACCCCAGGTCTGTGCGCTCGACTGGCCTTGGCCTGCTGCCTTGGAGGACTGGCAGTATCTGTGGGGCTCACAGTGGCGGTCTTCCACCTGCCTTTCTGCGGCTCCCGCCTGCTGGTGCATTTCTTTTGCGACATCACAGCGCTGCTGCACCTGGCCTGCACGCAGAGTTATGCGGAGGAGCTGCCCCTGCTGGGCGCCTGCCTGGTGCTGTTGCTGTTGCCCTCAACGCTCATCCTGGCCTCCTACGGAGCCATCGCCGCAGCCCTGCGCCGCCTGCACAACGCGGGGAGCCGGCGCAAGGCCACCTCCACCTGCGCCTCTCACCTGGCTGTCACCTTCCTGCACTATGGCTGCGCCACCTTCATGTACGTGCGGCCCAAGGCCAGCTACTCCCCGCAGCTGGACCGCACGCTGGCGCTGGTCTACACTAACGTCACGCCCCTGCTCTACCCGCTTATTTACAGCCTGCGCAACCGGGAGATCACCGCCGCCATCCGCAGGGTGCTGGGGCAGCTACCAGCCCAGTCAAGCTGTGAGTCTGCATCTGTGTGAGCTCTGCTAGCAGGCAGGGAGCAGACCAGACTGGGCAGCTTCGTTCGCTAAAGTTTCCTGTCTCAAAAGGTGTTTGCATAGGGAAAGCCCCCTGCGGGACTCAAGGAAAGAGAACTTGGAAATTGTCTACACAAGTAGAGCCACCCAGGGTGGTCCTGTCCTCCATCCCTCCCTGGAGGAATGGCCGGCCCAGATAGTGTGGAGGGAAGTCTAGACCTGAATTTAGTGGTTCCATAAATCCCTGTCGAATTTTTCCTATAATCTGGGTCCTTGAAAGGTCATGGGCTTGCATGATGAGGAAGGTATAACACATGGATTAGGGAGCTTCAGCGTTTTGAGGGTTGAAGGCAGTCAGGGAAAGCTTCTTGGGGTGAGCGGGGAGACGACTAATTGGAGAAGTGGAGGATGATTAGGGGCTAACCAAGCCAGGAGAAGGGTAGCTAGCAGGAGCTGAAGCATATGGCAAAGGATCTTGGGAACTACTGAAGGATCTGGATTCATGAATGGTGTGTTGACATCCCCCTCATATGATCACTCAGGACACCCATTTGGCAACCTGTTGCCATATCCTAAGTGAGATGCAGTGGAGTCTGGGACCGAGTATCTACACAAGGAATTAAGTGACATGGGAAGAGCCAAAAGAGGAGGAAGCGGAGACTTACAGGACCCTAATTGGATTAGAGTGAAAAAGAAACAGGAGTTAAGGATCATTCCTAACTTAGGTTATTTGGTGGATGGTGGTGGCGTTGCTGAGACAGAGAAACCAAGAAAAGGAGCAGTGGGGAGAGTGGGATAGTGATTCTGTTTCCAAAGGCTGCTAGAACAAACCAATGAAGGCTCAGAGTGGAGCAAAGACACAATGCAGGGCCAAAGGGGAGGCTCAAAAGAAGGAATCAATTTGGACTTACAGATGGCTGCTAAGATCATGGACATGGGGTGTGTTCCCCAGGGAAAATGGGTAAAGGGAGAAAAAAAGAGGCCCCAGTCAGACTCCAGAGGCAGACCTACATGTGAGGGAGTAGAGGAAAGGAGCAGTCAACACGCTTGAGAGCTGCTGAGATGCTCCATGGTCTTGAGTCACTCTTCGCTTCAACTTTCCAGCCATAAATACAAAGCAAGGGCTGAGCTAAAATCTAAGTTTTCTTCCTATTCTCTGATCCCTTCAGATGGAGCATGCAAAGACACATATGGATCACAGTAAAAGAAAACAAGGGTCAATAATTTAGTGCTGACTGAATGTATGTGGACTAACAAACAGGGAATTGACGTAATAGTCAGATGGCATTTATCAGAATGGCATTTATCAGAATGGTTTCCAGGAAGAAGCTAGGTTGTATAGAATGGTTTTTGGAGAAAGTAGTTGATTTTCTTTGATTCAAAGCATTGTATTTTTTGTGGATATAAGGATTTTAATGTCTTTTCTATTAGTGCATATTAATTGTACAATGTGGAGGTTTTCACTGTGATATCTCCATACATGCATATAATGTATTTTGATCTTATTTGCCATGGCCCTTCCCCAATCAGACTCTGGAAATGTCTGTGAGAGAGAGACAAATAATAGAGGTGTTGAGCATATGCCCTTTCCGTACCTTTTCTCCCTTGAGCAATCACTTTCCTGGGATGTTAAAGATGGTTTCTAAACATAATGAGCGTATTAACTTGTTATTGGAATGATTGATTATTATCTCAGGGAAATTATTACAATAGTAAACCTAATCCAAAGTAACTTTGGGTGGCTAAGCAGGGAATCTTGAATGGCACACTTTTGCTTTTTCCTGTGGGTTTTGGGGGTAAGTACACAGTACTAACATAGTTGCACTTTAGTAATGTGACTTGACCATAATAGTGCAAAACAGAGATGACAAGTGAGGGGTTGTGGCAACAGTCCACAGATAAGGAGACAAGGATCTATGCTTAAAGTGCATCTGGGATATGGAAGGGAAGGCATGGATGAGGTAGGATATGGTAAAGACATTACCATGAACCAATGTGGGAAGGAACAAAATAGCTACTTAGACTAAATGAACCCTGGTCTTCACCTTAAAGCAGGAACTAAAGTAAATCTCAGATGGACAAAGATTTAAATCTAAAGTACTCAACCATGAAAAAGTCTTGAAAATGAATTTAGATTAAAACCAAAAACAGAGCTTATCTCAGAATGGGGAGAGATGTTCTCATCACAAGGGCAAGAAAAGGATCACATAAAAAGACTGATAGATTTGATTGAAGACAAATTATGATATTTGTACACATATACATAACAATTTAAAAGAAAATCACAAATTCAAAATATGTAATGGCAACAAATATTGTAATGAAATGGCTAATGTAATATTTCTTACCTACCCCCCAAAATTTTAAGAAGATAAGCATCATAATTTGAAAACTTGGTAAGAGATATGAACAGACAGCTCACAAGGTAACTTTATAAAATATTTTTCTTTAATTTCATTAGTAGCAAAATTTAGACAATAAAATATCATTTGCTACTCTCAAACTTATACTTTCTTAAACTGTGAAGAGTGGATTATGAGAAACCTATGAGAACTTGACATAAGCACAGCTGTTCCCAATAATCCACAGGCTGAGTTTGTCACGACCCCAGCAGCAGATGCAATACAGGTGCTTTTCCTAAGTTGTTTGAGTTCAGAGAAGCAGGAGCAGGTTTCTCTTGTTACAGTGTCACACCCCTCCCTGAGAACTGTTGTTCCACCTCCTTGTTTACCACTGGATATAAAAGACTGGCTGAAGGAGGACACAAGGCTTTTTGATGGGGGATTTTGATTGGCTGACACTGAAGCTGTCTGGTGTGTCTCCACCAGAGCAGCTTTCTGCATGCAGAACTTTATACATAGGCTTTAGAAAAGCTAAACTAGAGAAGACCTAAAGAGAACATGAGACAGTGCAAGTCTAAGTATGAGACTTTAAGAGTTTCGCTAATGCCATTTTTAGACATGGCTGCTGTTGTTTGTCTGTAAGTCTAAGGGCAAAGACTTTAAGAGAGATTAAAGACAGCACGGGACAGTGCAAGTCTGAGGGTAAAGTCTTTAAGAGAGATTATGCTAAAGAAAAGCTAAGAGAAAACATGGGACAGAGCAAGTCTAAGGAAAGAGACTTTAAAGAACAGAAAAGAAGACTTTAGAAGCAAGGTTTTAAAGAAAGACTTTAGAAACAAGGCCTTAAAGAATAAAGATAGAGTAAAGAGAAGAGAAGTAAAAAAAGCAATGAGGCTGCTGTGCGTCTCCATCTGAGCACCCTGCACACCTGGCCCCGGCTTTATGCATGTTCATCTATTGTTTGTCCTTTCTGCATCTCCCGTTGTCCCCCCCTCCCCCGTTAGACCCAGTTAGGTTTAGTAGAATCAGGAGCTAGGAAAGACTTGCTCCATTAAACAAGTCTCAGCATCAGCAAAGTTGCAGTGAGAAGTGTGCTCTCGGGTGCTGCTGCCAGACAATCTTGGAAGATCCCATTTATTCCTCTGAATCAGGATCCTTGGTACTGTTCCTCCTCTTTGACACACTAATTTCACTAATAGATTATTGAAATCTATCCTGAAAAAAGTCAGAGATAGGAACTAAACGTTTGTAAGGGATATTGACTGCAGTATTTTTTATATTAACAAGTTCAATACTGGAATAATGATTAAATAAATATTACAGAACATTTAAAGTCTTGCAAAAATAGGTTTTGATGATTTCTTTTTGACTTGAGGAAATACTTGTGATGCAATGCTGAGTAAAATTTTCACGAGGTAGAATGAATGACCTCAAAACAAAAAGTACTATGTATATATGCACATCAATATACAAAAGTCTGAATGCTTTTTAAAACACCAGAAAAACTAATTGCTCTCCCTGTGTGATGAAATTGTGGGTTGTTTTTATTTTCCTTAATTGTGTATTTTATAAATTTCCAAAAATCATTTTCAATGTATGTTACAGAGTCCTGTCAGTGAACCAGACTTCTTACCTTCCATCCTGAGAATAAGGGCCTGATACCACTCTCCTGAAACTATCTTCTCACCAACAGCCCTGGAGGCAAGGGAAGGGGACAAGTGCCAGCTCTGCAGGAGTGGATCCAGGAGTAGATACAGTATTCATGTGGTATAAGAGTGACTGCATTGAAGTATTTTTATCCACTAGAAGCTTGTAGGAAACATTACTGTCTTTGATAAAGAGAGGAGACATTATGAGGAAGAATTACAATTCATATTACCTTGTGAAAATGACTAGAGAGAATAAATTACCTTGTTGAGACTGTTTCTAAAGAATGTCACATCCATATACCCTCATATGTTAAAGGACACAAATTGGCACAAAATTTAAGTACACTTGTAGAGTAGAAAATTCCAGAATTTATTCATTCATCCACAGATGCAACAAATAAATGTGTATGGAGTTCCATGCCATCAACTAGACAGTTGGGGATTCAGTAGCAGTCACTATGTCACTGTATTCCTAGCACCTATGACAATTATTGAAGGAACAAAAATGAGGTCCAGGTGGATTTTGAAATCTTGGAGATTCAGGCAAATATACAAGTAATTGCATTGCTATGATGCAAATGCTACCATGGGTAAAAATAAAAGATTCTGCTGGAAAAACTAGCCAACCTGAGGTGGTGGCAGCCTCTGAGCATGGTAGTTTATGATAAAAGTAATGGGTACGATCTAAAGTCAAGTAAGAATAGCCAGAGGCAGGGAGAGAGAGAACCAAAAAAAGAGAGTCCAAACAAAGGGAACAGTGCATGCAAAAGAAACCATGTGCATTCTAGAAATCAGTCATCATGATTGGTTCTTATTAGTAGTGATGAGATATATGGACTATTCTGTGTGTGCTATATGCTCATTTCAATAACATGTAAAGAAATCTTACAAATCAATAAGTAAAAACTAACACTCCCAAAGAAAAATGAGCAAAGGACATGGGTAGACTATTCACAGAAAAGGAAATGCAGATGATTTATACACATAGTTCAAATGCCAGTGCTGCCAAAAA